GTGTATACACGACGATAAGATATGCACCGGACAATGGATGCACAACGATCACGTCGCAATATCGCTCACTTGCGCGCACGCGAGCGCGATACGTTGTGTTGCGTCATTCGCGCGCGCTCGCGAGCTTCTCGGGAATCGCCATGAAATTACGCGACGCGATTTCTCGCGACGCGTCGTCGCGCGGACGCGACATCATTTTTCGCCCCCGTGTTTTCGACCGCGACGAAATGTTACAAACCACGTGAGAATGGCGAGGGGAGATTCGACTCGACGTGCGGGGCGCTCATCGTAGAATCCTGCGTTCGCATCGTCCAAAAACAAAAATGTTGTTTACGCAGCGGTATTTTAATCCCGCAATCCCGTATCTCCGACGTGCTAATTGAAATCTCCACGCGGCGAACCGACGCGAGATCTGTCAAAACGGGATCTCGCGAAGTTTCGCACGCGCGGCTTACTCATGGGGCGGAAGCACGTGGCTCTCTAGAATGTATCTAGCGTCGCGAGAGTCTCGAGAGTGATTCTCCAGTCACTCGCGTATTTATCTCCTTCGAGATTTCGAGAAGAGTGGAGGCTTGGGATTTCGGAGATGGTTTCGTGAGAAGCTCGTCGATTCTCGTCATAAGCGACACTTCGAAAGTATCTTTATTGACTCTTTACGTTCAAACTCAACCAGCCAGAGATCTCTCTTTTAACGGGAAAGAAACGCGCTGGCGTTATTTTTTGCACCGCGATTTTGTCGCCGTTGAATAATTACGAAGATCGTACTCACCAATCTTGAAAGGTTCCGTTCCGAAGCGCACGATGGAATCGCGATCCACCTTGCCGTCGATCAGATCGATCCTCGTCGGGTTCACCTTCGGGCGCGCGTCAAACAGTCCAAAAAAAAAAGCGTACAGTTCCCAAGCGGGGTGTAACTATCGCGATACGATCGTCGAAACGGGAACGGCACGCGGCAATGCCCCGTTCATCGAACCTCCGGCGCGCGCGGGTCTGTCACAGCGACATAACAGTCGTCCCCGTAACACGAATCTCGGAGAAACTTTACTCCGCGGGCGAGAGGAGAGTCGTATCCCACCGGGGCACTCGACGAAACGGAGCGAGGTGTAACAGTACGGTCGCGTCCGTTCGGGAGACACTCGCGTGAGCGACGAGACGACACTCCGAAAAGAGAGAACGATCGACTTGCCACTGGAGACGCGGCGGGGAGGGGCTTCTCCTTCCTCCCGCCTCTGGGCGAGTGAACTTGAACTCCGCGCTCGCGGCTGACAGCGATCCGATACCGCGATGCGTCGGTGCACTATGCGCGAGAGCCTGACGGCGAACGCGTTTGTATATGTATGTATCTCTCGCGAGAGAGAGAGAGAGAGAGAGTACCTATATATGCGTATATATAGGCAAAACAGCGTTATATACGTTTGTAGTGCGTATATATAAAATGCGGGCTCCTGCGGGCGCGAGAGCGAGATCACGAAGACGGCACACGTCCGCACGCTACGAGGCCAGACTGCCAACTGACTGCGCGCACCGCGTGAGACTCCGACAGCGACTGCCGTGCCGCCGTCTTGGCCCCAATGTCGTCTGGCTTCGATGCCGAGAAGGCTGACTGGACGGGGTGTCGTGCGCGCGTGTTGGTGAACGTAGGTCGCGGGAGACGACGCGCGCGGAGAGGGGGACGAGTTTATACTCCTGGTTTATACTCGGTTTATATGTGGCGGGTTTCCCCCACTCCGGCCGCTCGCCGGCCGTCCCTCCACCACTGTCATCGTCGTCGTCGTCGCCGACGCCGCCGCCGCCGCCGCCACCGCCGCCACCGCCGCCACCGCCGACCGGCTTCCAACGCGCTCCTGCGTCAGACCGTCCGGTCCCCCACTTGCTGCGCGCTGCGCGACGACCACCCCGCGATTCTCCTTCCCTCCCCCCCCCCTTTGATCGGTCGTGCCATCGTACCGCGGAATGCACCCGCGTCCGCGTCGTCGCTCCGAGCGGAGCGATTAGATTGCGTCGTGCACGCGGCCGCGACGCAAGTGTCACGCAAGTGATGCTTCGTCGACGGTGTGCCGTCCTGCAGAAGAATTCCTTGGTGAATCTCAGGAAACCGATGAAGATGTCCGATTATCGATAATGGCCGATATGCAAGAGAAATCTCTGAGTAAGATCGGAACGAGAAGCTCGATATCAATAGAGGCGATTCAAGTAATCGCAGACGAGCGTTTTTTAACAGAATAGATTAGATTAAGGAATCCGCGCGAAGTTGATTTATTTGTGTCTCCTTGTATTCCGTAATTTTTGATGCTGTTAGAAATGTTAATGTTAATGGTTGTTATTGAATAATTTTTTTATCCTATAATTTATAGGATTATTTAATAATTATTTTTATTATTGACAAAATAATTTAATAAAAAGGGCAAAGTCTATTACATCACGACAATCGTTTAATTCCCTTATAGAAATTTAATACTGAAATTTCCAATATTATATAGCTAGCATTGGATTTTTGTAATTATCAATATCGTCAAGGACAAAGATTCTTAATATTGGACCTAAAATATTGACAAAATATTCATAAAATAAAATATTCATTATATCAATAAGGATAAAATATTTATTTTATCAGTATAGATTAATTTTAATTTCTGTTTAATGTACCCTTCACCTTTTTCTAATTCTTGGAATTAAAGAGAGATAAGAAATAAATTAAATTGCAATTAATCTGATAAAAACGGACATATTACAATAATATCTAACGTAACGAATTGAAAAATAAATATCTCTGTTTTCTGAGATCAAATGGAGACTTCAAATAAATGTATTTATTCAAATATATTCAGATAAAATATTATCAAAATCGATTACATTTAATCTTTTTGTATTTACATCCTTAATGCAGATAGACGCAATCACTGATAGTCACATCATACGATGACTACTACTATCAATCTCTACATTCCACGAATTTAAATCGCTGCCTTCGAGCTGCATCTCTGTCGGAATGGGGGGAGAGGGGAATGATATTGAGGTCGAGATCTGTCTTTGAGACACAAAAATCGAATCGACGACAGAATATTAGAATTAAATAGAAATCATCGCTAAATAAACTATATCTCCCTTTCTTCTTTGTTCCTCGATACAATAACATATGTTTATTATTGCGTTAATAATTAATAAGAGCGTCGACTGCGTGTGATTCCAGATACGGAGATATCCGAAGTCGCACTTCTCGCTTTATCTCGAATCTACGTGATTTCCTCGCCGCGAGCGCGGTCACGCGTGTGTGGGCGAATCGACGCGATTTCGCGGTCGCGCGGCAAAAAAGAAAAATGATTTACGCGCCGATCGCGCCCGGGGTCGAGCCCGTAACGAGATACGCATCGGAACGAGATACTACTCGGAATCGCGTCGGCTGCGATCCAGCCAAAACAAAGAGCCGGGCCGCCTCGCGGTGGAACTCGGTTCGGCCGGCCGGTTGGCACAAGGACCCTTCCTCCTCCTCCTCCTCCTCCTCCACCTTCTCCTCCTCCTCCTCCTTCTCCTCCTTTTCCTTTTCCTCTTCCTCCTCCTCCATCTTCGCCGCTCTGCTGCTGCTGCTGCTGCTGCTTCTGCTCTTCTCTCCTCCCGCCACCCCGCCGCTACCGTCCTCCATAAACCGAATGCCAGACAACGAGGGCATCAGCCCCCGTGAATCACCGCCGGTCACCTTCACTTTTTATGCAACTTTGTGAATCCGACCTCGCCGCGCCACACCGCCTCGTGCGTCTCCTCTTCCTATTCCCCTTTCTCCTCTCCCTCCTCCTTCGCCGCGCGTTATGAATACGCACGTGCAATCCGGATCGGTTACCTTTTTATCGATGCATTATCGGTATGTGGCAATGGGGATAAGGATGTTGTCACGTTATCAAGGCGCTTTCCTAATCATATGTCAACCGTCGGTTATTGCGCATTATTACAATCGTGAAACAATTGTCGAGAGTTCTTTCTTCGCGGTACGGTAAATAACAGAACACTTAGATTCTGAGAATGTGTTCGGGTATAGATATCGCATAAGTAGATTACGTGTATTTCCTTTATATTGAAGTTAGAAATATATTTATATAAAATATAGCTTTTATTAGATAAGATAGTACAATTTCAAATTCGTTTCTATTTTTTTCAGCGTAATCAAAACAATACATAATAAAAAATTATAAAGTTAAATTAAGCAAGTAATTAATTATATAAGTAATTAGAAAAATAAGATAAACATTTACGGACAAGTATTTTATTAGAAATATATAAGAACAGCATTATTACGATCGTGAATCTTGATACCTATAATAATTTATTTTTTAATTTACATATATAAATTCAATAGGCTTTGTTTCTGTCCACCAATTACGTGCCGTTACTAACGGACTCGCGACATAGCTATCTAAAGCCAGAATCGTCCTCCTTAATACTCCAATAATCAATTTAATAATAAAATTAATTAATTCTCCGATTAAAAATTCTCTATAAAAATAAATCTTTTTTTGAGATAAAAAAAAATAAAATTAAAATTTTTCAATTTTTCAAATTTCATTTTTCCTCTTGGACTTTACCTTAGCCTGTGTATATTATTTAGAGTGCTCACATTGCAGTAGATATTATGTAAATAGGCGTAATAATGTAATTCGCTCGATCGAGCGGCTTCGAATGAATTCGGGGAAACTCGAGTTCGGGGAAAACAAAATTTGGCGGAAAACTCATTCACAACGGACGCGAATACAAAGTTCGACAATGAGATTAACATAGATCGCGCATGCATAATGACATCACGTGTCCGTCGGTGTGCGGCAGTGAGTAAATTCGGTATTCAAGGACGCGCACGCGTGCGGCGACGCGCGTCGCAGTCCCGATTGTGCAGCTACGCGCACGTACGCGCGCGTGGAG